AAAGAACAATCAAGTCTGAGACAATCGATTGACATTTTACAAATGAGGTATTTACTGTATGGTTCTCGGATTTTACTAAGAGATTTAGTAATTTTGTATTAAAATACAGTAGATTGTCCTCACCGTTGTTCTTGTTCACCTTAGTAGTATCATAGGCGTGCATTGTTCAGGCTGTTCAAACTTATGCCATACATTTTCGTTTATGTCAAACCTCGGTGATAAGTATATCAATTCATTAATTTTATGGGCTAGAAAAACTTTAAATTTCATGATAAACAGAGTAATTTGATTTAAAATATCTTTTTACTCATCGACATATAAATGAATTTAAATAATGATGTATGAATTAGGATTCTCGTGAGTGTAGTTAAACTCAAATTGTTAACTTTTTTTAAAAACTGACAAACTAGCATTTTAGATCATAAGGTAAAAATTGGAACAAGGTATATAAAACATGTTATAGACAAATGTACATTATATTTTGCTACAAAATGTATTAACAACAATTCCTTAGGCTAAAATAACACGACGAACATAATTATAATTAGGTGTTGAAAGGCTTGATGGAAAATGTGTCATGATTGAAACACTATCACTATAAAACATTGAGGATAGGATTGGAAATGAGATTAAAAGTTAAAATTAATAAGGTTTATTAGATAAACCATGGCAGATATATATAAGTGTACATTTATTCTATGAATTAAGGAATATCTCAGAATCTGATAATAAAAACATTAGGAGATAGTCTCTATCAAGAAATGACTTCCAAAAGACAACCAACAAAAAACAAAGTGATAAACAGTTGTTTTCACAGTGAGGCGAGTGAACACCCGCAATTTTCAAGCCTTGCAGCGTGCGCTTTATGCTGATCACAATTCTATTATTTACATTTCTAACTATAACCGAAATTGTAATCATACGAGAATATTTTATTGTCCAGTGTGTCACCAGCAATATCTGTCTTATTACCAAATTAAGTGAGCCTCAATGGCTACCATTATCAATCGTAAGTCAAGGGACTGAGACAATTTTGTACGTAAAAATCTCAATCTAAATATTAAAAATCAATAGTGAAAGTATTTCTCTTATGTATCTGAAACAATATTCCATTTTGCAAATTACCATTCATTACCAGTTATTTCTATTGACCTTCTTTGAAACATAAATATTGATTACTTGAATAATATTCAGTTGATGATGATGAATACAAAATTAAGATGGAAATATTGTACAGTTCACTTTGGTATTTATATTAGTGAAGCAAATGAATACAAAAATGAATTAGTTCCTTTTTACTTAAATTTATTTGGATACTTATTTCCTATTGATTAAGATCATGAATCGATCAATGTTAGACGACCACTGAAAACCTGATAAGACTGGACGACCGTTTCGTCCTAGTACGGGACTTTTCAGCAGCGCGCATCCACGATCTCAATCAAAAACGTTACAATCTCCACATTCTTATACTGATTGTTTATAATAGACTGTTCTGCCATAAATAGAAGATTCAGGAAAAAATAGCAGATCATTAGTTCTAAATGTTTGTATTTTCCCTGTGTTAACGACTCAAACTGACTGTTTCCTATCAAAATATGTGACTTCTAAGAGGATCGGTGTTGACATTTAGTCACAAGTTTGTATTAAGTTTGAAGAATGGCTGACAATCGAATCCAGGATGGTTGGTTTGTCTTGTTTGGGACTCGCCAGATGGATCTACTTGGATTCCAGTGATTACATTCACACTAAAACTCGAAATCACTCTCCTTCAATTCAAACGTCAGTACATTTTTTACTAAGCTGCTGAGTCAATATTCACACCAAGAAAATCTACACCCTGTTTAATAAAATTCATACTTGTTGCTCATGCACGTATCTATCTGATCTTAGCAGCTCTCTAGCGTTTAAAGTGAAAGGTAATGGTTTTGATTATCTGTGTAAATCTTGACACTGGAGTCCATATACATTCAGCTGATGAGTCGCAGACAGGAAAACTCTCTCTTCCTGGATTCCACTCTTTACCAGTACCCAACTTCAGCAATAAGTAATATTGTTATAAGTTAAATTTCTCCACCAATGACAAACTAATGCTTTTGCATGACAGACTAAAATATAAGTTCTAAGCTATTAATGCTGGATTAGAAAACTTAGAAGTGTAAAATACCATGCATCCGTGCACAGACTTAACATACTTTAACACTGTAGTTTTATATATCGTGTGTTCATTGTTTTCCTAATCGATGACATTAGAGGACAGCGTAAATCATAGAAAGCTAATAGACCGAGATCATAGATTGAACATAACTATCGTAAAGCATCCAAATGAAATCTACAAAATTGTGTTCTTAAAGAAAGTATTTTGTGATAGCTGATATCAGTGAGAGTGAATCTACCTATCTAAAATTCATGTAGCCACGAGCAAAACTTTCAAATGTTATTCTGTTAGCAAGCTAGCTCAAAAGAATGGGTTATGAAGACCAACTGGACGACAAAAATGTTTTCCAGATTAAATTCAAATAAGAACAATCAATCGGAAAATGAATCTCAGTTCAGATAATACCAGTAGTCCACATGTTAACCTTAATATAAAAAGGACGTTAGGTGAAGTAATGTCATTTATCTGATATTAAAGAGATTGTGAAAACACAATTTAACTTGTAATATATATATATATATATATACATTTTATTGATGTGGGTTTTGTGAGATTAATTTAGTTTTTAAATTGTACTTCCTTATGGAATAACCTCATCTAAGCCTCCATTGAATACGAAGGAGCATATGACAGCTATCTCGTTCTAATAAAAGACTTCTTAGCATCACATATCTAAGATCAGAGATTCAGAGACCTTTGTAAGCATTTAACAATCACAGTACCCGTTCGGACTGAAAATATGGTTTCTTTTTCCAAGTTTTCTTATTGTAAAGAGACAACATTTAATAGAAAAGTTTGAGACACTTATTCAATAAACTTTGAGAAGTATCTAGTTACCCATCGATGGTTGTGCAATATTATGGATTGACTTAAGTCACAAACGTGAACCATTAGGCATCAACTCAGTGATTGACGTCGTTTCTCACTGCTGGTGAGTCCCGTATTGAGACCAGTTGACTGTTCGTCGGTCCTTAATTTTCAATGAGTCTTTAACTAAGTTCAGTTCATGTATTTATTGGCTGCACTTCAAAAATTCTAGTGCACATCATATTTTTCATACGAAGAATATCTTTCTGCTAAATTTTAATTATCATGATGTACAGATTAGTTATACATTATCTAGATAGTAAAACATGACACATTTATTTATTACATTGATTAAATAAGTAATTGCAATTATCATCTTGTAGACTATAAACCTTAATCTTACTCAGTAACATTTATGAGTGGTATATTGAGGCTTATTCAAATTATTTGTAAAAATAATATTTGAAATAATAATGTTTAACAAACATTATATATTATTTGATAATTTTCATTTTGATAATTACTCTGAAGAAGTCCAAATAAGTTTGCTAGATGAAACGCTGGAATCATTTCAGTTTCAATTTTTGAGATCATATCAAATATTAGTTTCATAAATGAAGTCTTCCCTGTATTCAGCGCTCCATTTCTGTCAAACTGTTTATTAAGTTTTACTGGTATTGTAGTGAACGAGAGCAACAGTAAGGACAATCTACTGTATTTTAATACAAAATTACTAAATCTCTTAGTAAAATCCGAGAACCATACAGTAAATACCTCATTTGTAAAATGTCAATCGATTGTCTCAGACTTGATTGTTCTTTCATTTCCACACAAATCGTTCTCTATTCTCGTCCTCATCCCTTCTATCTTCTTAACCTTCTGTCGCCTGGCATTTCACACTCGGCTGACGATGCATACTACTTATATCTATAGACATCTGTAGCACACACCACACTATGTGGATTCATACTTAGTACCTTCAACTATTTCAGTCAGATATTAGTGTTAGATTATTAAGTCAAAATTCCATAATTCATTCTAAAGATTTCGAATACATCTTGCTGATAAGGTTACCTAGCGTAAAGTTTATGTCTACGATTTACTGCTGACTACCATCAACCATTTAACAAAACATATCATCATTATCGTAATCACTAGAGTTCATCCAAACGAACATCTCTGAGTCTTGATCAAAAGTCAAGAATTGAATGTTTCCGCCATTTGAGGTAATGCAAATAATCAAAATTGGAGATTAGAGATCATGAATGATATGGCTCGTAATGATTAGCAATGGCTCAATTAGACTCATTCCCTATGTTTCAACAAATATATATATTCTATACTTTAATTCCACGATTTCACTTGTTATTATTATGCTATATTATGATGTGATGAGTGGAAACAAGGACCCGATACACACTTATACCATTTCCTACACTACATACAGTCGAGTGATTGAGTGATTAAACGAGAATCATGTGTCAGTGAATTCAAGTATTTCGTGGTCTGGTACATAGATATTGTATTGATGACAACATGAGATGTTTATATCATGTTAAAAATCAGTTGACATTAGAACAAAAGTGAAAAATTAGATATTTTATCGATGACCGAAATGTATCATTTCTTCATCAGAAACTGAAAATACAGAAGTATATATTATGTGAATATTGGTTTGATGATTGTAAACGAGATAATGCTGGTTGCAGAGTATCGTGAATTGATTGAAGCTAGACATATGACTGGATCGCAGTTTGAGTGTCTAGGGTTCAAGCGTTCCAGGCTTGATCTCCTGTGGTGTGGTTATGTGCGTGAACTTCTGCGCAGTCCCATATTAGGCCAAATCAATTGTCTAGGGGTTTTTGCTTTTGAATGGTTGTTTCGCTAAGATCGGTCAGTGATTTAAACTATGGATAAATATTGATTTAAAAACATTTAAATTTAAATTATTCAAGTAAAAAGAAAAAAAGTTTTGTGAATTGATAAATTTGTTTGATAATTGAACTGAACAAATAAATTCATTTCCTATTTACAGATTATCATCCACAGGATTATGGACTACACTTATCCGGAGTAAAAAATCACGATAAAATTATTCGAAAATTCAATAATTTAGCTAATCAACGATTAATGGCTGGTGTCGATGAATTTTTCGACGAACTGGATCATAATAGTACGTTCATTTTAAATAAGCGTTTTGCTTTTTTATACTTGTACTAACCAATGGTAAATAACTGAAACAACTGATTTTGTGTTGAATTGATGAGTTATTAAGTAGAAGAAATTAATTTTTAAATGTATTTGAAGCGGTTACATAGTCGAGTTCGTTGAAGGATCTAATTAGTAATGTGAATTATTTTTTAGTTTAGACGTCTTATCCTGTGTTTTTTTGCAGTGTAAAACTGAATTTCAAAAATAAGTTTTGTAGTCTTTTGAGTGGGTAATCGGTCAGAACATTTTGTTATATTTTACGTGGGGTAGGATTTATTATCATTTTGTAGAAACATTTTGAATGAACAGTTACCATCTATTTCATTTTGAAATCAGCTGTTGATTGTACTGCGATTCAGGTTTTAATGATCTCGATATGACTGGGACAAAATGATGAGACTTAATACTCTAAGTGACAAAATTTTGCCTTTCAAGAAGCAAACTACTGGGTCTAGCCTGATTGTTTTAATCAACGCTAAGATATCGGTTAATCTGATAAACGAACTACAGTTGAAATGAAACAAATGTTCTAGATTCAACTGCTAAATTATTTATAAAAAAATATACACAACTTACGAATTGGATCTATATACAGACGTGGATTCGAGAAATTGATTAATTCTAGTTTCAAATAAATATGAGGAATTTGTGGAGATTGTTCACTTTTGCATCTTACACAATGAACTGACCTTAGGAAGGAAACTGTAGTAAATCAAGTCTCATGATGAACGCTTAACTTTTGAAAGATGAGTCCCGCAGTTCTAGCTTGAAATTATGACCAGTTCAGTTCAAGTATGTAGGGTGTAGAGCAGTTGACTGCATGTTCAGATTTTTCTACAGGATCGCGAATTAAAGTTTTAAATGCAAATCATGAAATGTCAAATTAGTAGATTGAAGGTTAAGCTCTCGCTGCGACACATGAAAGTCATGTGTTTGGTCCCCATTTAGGTTGTGAACATCCCCTCTAATCAGTCTTACCCCAGAACGAAACTGCTGTTCAGTGCATAGTAGTTCTTAATGACTGTTTAAATAAGATTAATTCGATATGTGAGATATCAACGTAGTCTTACACATTAGTTACAGAAAAATTTAAACGTCTATTAATAGGAAAAAGCAGTCAACTCAAGTTTTATTTTTCAATATTCTTAGCAGACCAGTTCATTTACATTAAATGCTAAACCAATATATTCTTTTTTTATGATCATGCTAACAACATGTATTATATAATAGTTATTAGTAACTGAAAATAAATCTATCCATCTCTCTCTCTCTCTCTCTCTCTCTCTCTATATATATATATATATATATATATATATATATATATATATAATATATATATATATATATATATATGAACGAAGAAGACTCTTTTCGATAAATTCTCTTCAGGTTATATATAATATATATCCAAATTAATAATCCGAAAAATGGCCAGGTTTAGGGCATAGTGCATCATTTAAAGTTATAACATGTGAATTTAGGATTTTTAAACAAAATAGAATAAAGTTATTAATGTTGATATGACTCACATGAAATGTTATATATCATGGTGTAGAGTCATTTAATAATACTACAATTGCAAAAATAGTTTAATGATTTTAATAGTTGAGATCATCAGTCAATTGAAGCTAGGTCACCATGGAAAACCTGAAGGTACGGGACAGCCGTTTCTTCCTACTGTGGGACTCCTCAGCAGTGGGCATCCACGACCCCTCCTAGCGAGATTCGGGCCGACGACGTATCAGTTTGGCGCGCGAGAGTTTAACCACTAGACCACTGAGCCGGCATCCATAGGTCCTGGGTTTGAATCTGGCGAGGCAGGATCGTGGATGGGCACTGCTGAGGAGTCCCATACTAGGACGAAACGGCCGCTCCGTGCTTCCAGGTTTTCCATGATGATGTAGCTTAAAATGACCCATAATCTCAACTATTGAAATTACCATGTTATCGACAAAAGCCCTTCTAAAATTGTCTGATGACTAATTAATTATTTCTAAACCGATTTGTTACCATTAAATCTGCTCTAGATATCGAATAAAATAGTAGTTGCTCGTTTCGTTCATAGGTTCTATTGACTTCGTTTGCCTTAGCATTCAAATTGACCATATGTAAAATAATGAACCAACTGAACATCAACAAAAACGAGTAATTTGAAGGTTTTCTCAAATTGTGTTCATCAATAATTGTATGGACAGTGAGTTAGACATTGAAGGAACTCAAGATATTGAACATATTTTTGGTTTTTATTGACACAAGAGGTTAGAGAGCATATAAGTTTTTAATCCTCCTTTCAGTCTTCAAGGCCCACAGTAAATTACCTGTGTTTTCCCCAAAATATCAATTTATTGTCTTCATTTCATAAAATCTAGGGAGCTGATATCATGTTTCTCGAATAATCTTAATAGCCTAGGCAGATTACACACATTTATACCATGTTATTTAAAGCATCAATTTACTGTAAATGATCTATGAATGTGATATTCACAACAGTGATTAAAGTTATTAAATTTGTCTAGGGTGCTTATTCATTTGTTCCTCACTAAAAATTTGAGGGTTCATGTTGATATTTGAAGTTATTGAGAAATGCCAAAGATTCTAATAATGAATAATTACTTAAAAATTAAATGAAATATTATGTTTTTCAATACCACTTTAATGTTTTTGTTGAGTACATTCATATAATTTATTGATTTTAACTATAATAAAGTTTTACTTCACTATCATGCATGTAACATTTCTAGTAATTTAATTTTAAACTGCAAGTTCACGTTTTAGAGTATGATGACATTTGAACTTAAAATAAGTGAAGTTACTCAATGTTTAATGAAAGTGTAGTTTCTAACATTTTCGAGAACTGTCCCGTTCATTTAATAAATGATTACTGTATGTAACTGCATAACTATCGCTGGTGATATCATTTCAATTGTTTAAAACTATTTAAACCTATCTTCCATGAACATGCTACCCGAGAGCATCCCAAACTGCTGAATGAAAAGCATATAAAGTGAAATTTGTGTTTGAAATAAAATCACCAGCGAAAATTGTTGTCTTACATGATATAAACGTTCGCTCAATCGACGTAAAATATCCGAAAATACATGTTACCACACGTACATTGAATACTGAAAAACGGATGAGCTACAAATTCACGAACATGTATAACATCTCTAAAGTAAACAGCCTAGAAACTAATGATCAATAAATGATAATCATTAGTAAATTCAACATAACCCCAAAATTTAAAGAAATGACATTGATTTGTCTCACATAGTGTATTAAAGTCAAATGATAGGTATAGACTTATCGGTGAGACACCGTTGGAGTACTTTGATTCGGCGTCTAGTCAAAGTGTTGGCTTACATATTCTTGTCTGGGTCAAACAGTTTATGCGCACTGTAATTCGGTTTGTTAATAGAAGTTTCCAAGTCATTTTTAAGTCTTTAACCAACATAGCTGTTTGTGGGTGGGTATCAGAAACACGTGCATCTGAATCGTGAACGCAGTAGAATATAGCATAGGTGTTTAAAATGAACTTTGTTTTTCATTATAATAGTATGTCTTTTTCATGTATATATAACTTAAAACAACTTCACTTATTTATAATATTGAAAGGAGCTTATTTACAGCATCGTTACAGAGTTATCTCACGAAAAAATTACAGACATTTCATAAAGTTTAGAAGGTCAGAGTTTTGTCTCAATATCAGCGGATTATTTCACTGTATTATTATAGTTCAGTCATGATGTGTATTAGTTCTCAATTAATGGAATGTTACCGGCTTTATAATATTAATGCGCATACTAAAATAACTAAAAATATTTGCTTATTATAATCAGGATTGTAATTATTTGACCTAATAAGCAGTGATGTTTATTTCATAGACGTCAGTCATTTATTAGTAAGTAGTACAGTCGAAAAAACGTATCTACAGGAAAGAATTTGCATTTTCAATTGTGATATTTTTCTCTACTTCAGATAATTGGAATTTCACTTAATTTTGTTCTCCAGCCTATTCATTCAAAAGATGACATCTTATAGTTGTATTAAACGTACAATAGTGTCTGATGAGTACACTAAACTTAAACACGATAATATTCCGCAAATATCGAATTACTCACTTTTAGTGACTTCATCAAATTTTTAGTCCTTCAGAGTTGACCCTGGTTCTCCTAGTTTTACTGTACAAAGGTCTCCGTGGAATATCATCAGACTAAAATAAACAAAAATGTGAACTTAAATCGATAAAATTAGCCAATTTTTTAATGTTATGCAGCTTCATTGTGATATGAAAACTCTGAAACAAGCGAATTAGAGAGTAAGACTTCGCTAATTTATGGTCATTTAAGATTTGAACTGTTTAATGATTTACGGATTTGTCTTTGAGGTGTAGGAACAGATGGTTCAAGTGTACACCAATGATATGTTGAATAAAACTAAATCAGTTCAAATCCATTTACTTTCTAAAAAATTCGTAATCCATTACTGTAAATCGATTTGTAATGACTTTACTCAGCTCCAGTAATTTTTATGATATGTAACAGGTTTTTGAATTTATTTTGTATTCGTTGAATAGATTTATACAGTGGTTGTCTATGGTTGTAGTATTTCAATAGTTGAAAGTTTGTAATTGAATATTTCTCAGTATTATTTAGGAATGTATGTGTGCAGAAGGTCAGTCAGTCAGTCAGTAACAACGTAGAACTTCGTACGTACGTACATCAGTTCGAGTTGCCACACCACCTTAGCACAGAGATGCAGTTGTCGATTCAAATCCCGTGCAGAAGGTGCATTCGAATATTATTAAGATCACGAACTGATCTAAGTTAGATGACCATTATTAACCTGGAAGTACTGAACAAATGTTTCCTATTAGTTTGTGGCTTAGAAGAAGTGTGCATCCACGACCCCATCACTGGGGATTGAACCAAGGACTTTAGGTCTCATGAGGAAACACTTGAGCTTAAGGCCCCTGATCTAAGATCCAATTGTGGGCAGATGTAAACTAAATTTAATTAGGTCAGTTTAAATTTGTCAGTAATCACAAAAAAAACGGCAATCTCCACAATCTTCATACTGACAATGCAATATGCTTCCACTACTTAGCCGTAAATGAAAAATCTAAAAAATTCGTTTTCGTCCTGGGTCAAATTCATATTTTGTGACTTTGTGCTTAGAAAATCCACCGTTCATTTCTCTGTAAGAAAAAGATGCGCCGTTAATAAAATTTCTAAAGAGATACGGTAATGCGCCATGAGGGGCGTAACTTCTTTTAGGATTTAGAACAAGATTAAAGAACAAGCAGATAAACTAGAGAAAGTACTCTTAAGTCTCTTTAGATCGTCGTACAGACATGATAAAATGAGGGTACAGTATAAAAAATTTTACGCATTTTTAATGTAATAACGTAGATAACATAGTAACTTAACGGACAGAATTCCATCGGCACCAAATAACTTGGCAAACATAGTTAATTCTCAGTGGCTAATTACTTGTAATGGAAAGAACTAGAAAGGATTGCCTAGGACAGATTTGAATGGAGAATGCTAGTGGGCAGCATATGCTACTTCACGAGGAGTAACAGGCGTAAGTAAGTTAATAATTACTGGTAAATATTTCAGTTTTATAGAGTCCCTGAACAGCTCAGTGGTAACAGTGCAGTCTCCTCCAGATAAGAAGTACTCCTGGTGTCAGATCATAATCAGCCGTGGTTTTTGTTAGCTACTTTCAGTCACGTAGTCTAACTGGTTTTTATCACGAAAGCAGCTTATTACGGAATGTATTAAACTTTTCTGGCATTATCATTCCGGATTAGATTTTCTAGCTCAGTTTAACTGCGTTATGTATAACTCGATCAATGAAAATATGTTTTGCTGAATATAAAAAAAACACTACCTGATTGATAGATTTTGTAATTCCAGTTTTCACATAAATCGAATTGTATGTGAAATGACCATATAATTGGTGTACTGTTTATGACGTGAGTAAATTTTTAAATTGAGAAATATTTAATTACATTCCTTTTTACCTTGCATCTCTACTTCCTTAACGCGACTACATATGTTTTGCATGCATGTATGCATGTGGAGTATTTTTGTTATCCCATGAAATTATGCTAATTTCTTAGTATCAAACGTGAAATAGTAAGTAAATTGATGCTGCTAGGTACAACGTATTTTTGTTTGATAGTTACAGTGTTACGTAAGGTGGTTGGAGGTAGCAGGGAGAAAACTGAGTACCAAAAGTTTGTGTCGATCAGCTCATTTTAGCAAAGCAAAGTTATAATCTTAAAGGAATTGATATTTTGGGTGGGAATCGAACAAGAACTAATTTCAACCACTTAATATCTCATCATAGATCAAGTGATGTCAATTGACTTAGAGTAGTATCCACATTAAAACTTGGTTAACAGAATCAAATGAACAGTAATGGAGTGAATAAATATAGCACTGATCACTCAGGTTTAGTCATTTTTAAGTAAATAGTATTTCATTTGAAATGCCATATTTGTTGTACTATTGACTCGTAGAAAACAAACTGTGAGATAGTGGAGATTTGTAGCTCAGATAAATGACTTTGGTGGAGTTTTGTTCTCTGGGGTGAGAGATTTAATCGTGAAGTTTTCACTGTTCTTCTGAACAGTATCATTAACATAAACTTCTAGTAGAAGTGAAGTATTTGCATTTCTCCACATACATCTGCTACTTTTCCTGTCTACCTTAATCTTGATTGGTTATTGCTGACATTCAGCCTGTCGTTGTCCTCAAATATAATTTGATTGCGTCTCTCTTGAGACTCTAAACAATCAGCAATTAACAAACATATCTAAACCGATCTAAGTTATAAACTAACTAAGAAATTCCTGGGCAAATTTAGAATCAGGAATTTGGTCAAGGATCAACAACAATCAATCAAGATTAAGTTCAATAGGATAAATTGTCTGTCATGTGGACAAATTAGAATACCTCATATCTGCCTGAAGTTCATACTGACGATGCTGTTGAAAAGAACAACGAAAGCTTCATGATTAACCTATTTGGCTCAGAGAAGAAAACAGATCATTATAACATATAAAACTGTAGCATGCAGGTTATCGCCTTATGCTTATATGCCGAAACTTGACCAAACATAATTCTCAATTGGGTCTCACGTTCATTTTAATCTCAAGCAAATACAAAAAGATTATCTTGATTGGCTATATGAAAATTGAGAGTTCATAACTTCAAGAATCCGTGAAAACTCAAATAGTCTTACCATTTATTCCTTGGTTTTCAAATGCTGTTTGACTAAGATGAAAACAATTCACTAAAATCAGATATATTGCATTTTATCCATATTAAAAATATTCAGAAATAATTGTCCAGTGGTTCCAGGTTTTCCATGGTGATCTAGCTTTAATTGACCCCCGAACCCAACTATTAAATTACTACAATCTCCACAAAAACCCCCTTCTGATAATAATAATCATGTGCTCACTAGTGACTGGCTTTAAGAGGTATTTCCTGGAATCCTAGTGAGAAACCTTTGACCAGTGGAGTTCAACCGGGTCTGTTATGAGATAGTAACTGACTGAGGAAATAGTGGAAGGTGGCGCAATTTCGTGGATTGGTTGAAGTTAGACATTAACATCAAGAAATTCCGCCTCATTGGTCTAGAAGTTAAGCGTTAGTGAGCGAGACCGAGTGTCCTGGGTTTGAATCTCGCAGGGGGCGAGGTCGTGCATGTGCACTGCTGAGGAGTCTCACAATAGGACGAAACGCCCATCCAGTGCTTCTAGGTCTTCCATGGTGATCTAGTTTCAATTGACTCTTGAATTCAACTGTTAAATTAATTGTTTTTTGCCAAGTTTATACAATCATATTTTCTACAAAAATGCAACCTATTAAAAAATTCAGTAGAATATGAAATTTTTAATCTGAAATTAATATCTTAGTGTATAGTTGGTAATTAACTTAGGTTAATATGTAAACTGAATCACAATTAACATATCTACATTTTATTTATAGTAATTTTATTCAGTTCTACATCAAAGTTATGTGAAAATTAATGAAGCAAGTTATTTATCTTTCGGTGTACGTTAAGATGCTTATTCATCTACTTACATAAATGATGTATATGTACTCATCTGATTCATTCTTTTTAAAACACTGATTATTATGTATAGACTTTCTTGAGAAGTATGATGGCTTAGCATTTATATATTTGCTTATTTTACCGAAAAAAGGAATAGAGGCATACTACACAATTATATATATATATATATATATATATATATATATATATATATATATATATATATATATATATATATATATATATATATATATATATATAATATATATATATATATATATATATATATATATATATATATATATATTACTTACGCCTCTTACTCCTCGTGAAGGAACATAGGCTGCTCACCAGCATTCGCCCTTCAACCCTGTCCTGGGCAATCCTTTCTAGCTTCTTCCAGTTGTTATTCATCCTTTACATATCTGCTTCTATTTACCGACGTAAAGTGTTCTTTGGCCTCCTCTTTTCCGCTTCCCAACAGGATTCCAAGTTAGGGCTTGTCTCGTGATGCAGTTTGACGATTTGAGTAGTGTATGTCCTATCCATTTCCATCGTCTTTTCCTAATTGCTTCTTTGGCTGGAAGCTGGTTTGTTATCTCGCAGAGAAGGCTGTTGCTGATGGCATCCGGCCAATGGATGTTTAGTATCTTGCGTAGACAGCTATTTATAAATACTTGCACCTTCTTGATGATGGTTGTTGTAGTTCTCCAAGTTTCAGCTCCGTACAGTAGATCTGCCTTGACATTCGTATTGAAGATTCTCACTTTGATATTGGTTGACAGTTGTTTTGAGTTGTATATATTGTCCAACTGTAGGAATGCTGTCCTTGCTTTGCCAATCGTCGCGTTTACGTCTGCATCTGAACCTCCTTGTTCATCGATTATGCTTCCCAGGTATTGAAGGATTCCACATCTTCCAGAGTTTCGCCATCAAGTGTGATTGGATTACTGTTCTACGTGTTGTATTTGAGGACATTGGTTTTCCCCTTATGTATGCCGAGACCTACTGATGCAGAGACTGCTGCTTCACTGGCTGTCTTTATCTGCATTTGTTCGTGTGTATCGGACAGAAGGGCTAGGTCGTCTGCGAAGTTAAAATCGTCTAATTGATTCTGAGTTGTTTATTGTATTCCGTGTTTTCCCTCAGATGTCGAGGTCTTCATAATCCAGTCGACCACCAGAAGAAAGAGGAATGGAGAGAGTAGACAGCCTTGTCTGACTCCGGTGCTTACTTGGAATGCATCTGTCAGCTATCCTCCATGCACGACCTTGCACTGTAGTCCGTCGTATGAGTTCCGGATAGTGTTGACAATCTCCTCAGAAACTCCGTAGTGTCACAGAAGTTTCCATAACGTTCTCCTATCCACACTATCAAATGCCTTTTCATAATCAATGAAGTTGATGTACAGTGACGAGTTCCACTCAATTGATTGTTCGACGATGATCCGTAGTGTCGCAATTTGGTCTGTGCACGACCGATCCTTACGGAATCCAGCTTGTTGATCTTGAAGTTGGTCGTCTACTGTGTCTTCCATCCAGTTTAGCAACACTCTGTTGAAAACTTTTCCTGGTACTGACAGTAGTGTGATGCCTCTGTAGTTTTCCAGTTGCCCAAATCTCCTTTTCTTGGCATCTTAAAGAGTTCTCCTTCTTTTCAGTCCGTCTGCACTTGTCCTCCAAAATCTTTTTGAATAGAAGGTGAAGCATGTTTGTAGTTACTTCGATGTCTTACTTCAGTGCTTCAGCTGGTATGTTGTCGGGTCCTGCTGCTTTCCTAATCTTGATTTGTCTGATGGCCATTCTGATTTCTTCCGTCGTTGGTTGGTTGACATTTATAGGAAGATCTATGTGTGCTGCTTCGATGTCCGGTGGATTCATTGAAGCCGGCCTATTCAGGGGTTCCTCGAAGTATTCTACCCATCTGTTCCGCTGTTGTTGAATTTCAGTGATTGGCCTGCCTTCTTTGTCTTTGACCGGTCTCTCTGGTTTACTGTATTTCCGTGCTAGTTTCTTCGTTGTATCGTACAGTTGTTTCATATTTCCTTCTGTTGCAGCTTTTTCCCATGTCGTTGCTGGTTCTTCCACGTATTTCTTCATGTCGGCTCTAATGCTTTTCTTCACTTGCTTGTTTGCTTCTATATATTCAGCTTGTGCTTGGACTGTCTCTGTTGTTAATTGCTGTCTTCTTGTTCTTCCTTTCTTTGATCTTGTCCAGTCTTTCTATAGAGATCCATTCCTTATGATGGTGCTTTTTTATATATGTATATATAATTCATTAAATTATTTTGAGTAGGTGTTAACTCTAATATGGTGTAATATCTATAAACTAACAAAGACTGATCGAAATTTGAAAATGGAATGGTCCAACCTGAAATCAATATTATACGCTCTGAGTGAATTAGTAGCTATCGTGTGACAGTAGCTCAGTGAATAACGCACAAGGAGCTTGAATTGTAAGGTAGTGGGTTCGATTCCCAGAACGAACGTCTACTTTGAGATGAATACTTATCTCGCTGACGATTCTCAAACAAGATGGGAGCCAACATAGTGACATCAACTCTGTGCCCTTCACATCTAATGCCAATACTGAGTCTTAACAGTAGCTTTTATGTTCAACAGAAATGATGTTTAAACCACTAATAGTAACGATTGGAATTATACTATTGTCGATATAAACACAAGAGTAGAGGTACATTCAAATGACGTGTACCAAATAAGACATAACGTGCTTTCTAGATTTGGCTGCCAGTCACAGTCCAATTATCCTAAAAAATATATGACCAAATGACACCGATGTATTTCTTTAAAGATTTCCATATACCAGCAAAGACTGGTTTGTATTCAGTCTTGAATATTGACAATATAACAGCTCACAATCCTACTGATGATGATATAAATGGGTATACTGTATTGAAGAATGGATTAATTCTAGTTTAGATGGTAATCAATTTTAAATAAATTTAAAAATCAATGTAATGCTGTAAAAATGATTCCTTATAAATGTGAATAAATACAATTACCTAATTAACTTGTGAACACTTAATCGATCATTAATTACTGGACGATGTGGATTTTACCTAAACTTTGATGATAAATGATCGAAACTTGTCGATGGATTTGGAATGTGGACAATAAGTGATTCGATGAAAAGTGCGTTATGTTTTGCTCTCGCTTGTTTCAGGAAAAGTGGTGACGATAGATTGTAACCGTTAGACAACTGAGGTTACTTAATGAAACAGAGTAAAGCCTGATTACATTGGAGGTGTGTGGTCACTGAGACATATGGTTGAATCACGAAGCTTTCATTGTTTTACTGAATAACATCATCAACACATACTTGAAGAAGTCAACTATTAAAATTTCTCCTTACTTCGCTTACGGCTTGCTCGAGAATTTGATTGGTTGTTATCCACACTACATGGTCATTGCTTTAATGCTCACTTTGATTGTTCCCTCATCTGATCTAAACCCTGATCTTATCATTGTTAATATTGAAATTATGGACTTATAACTGTATAGTGTGATGATGAAGTTATTGAAAACTATTGTTCGCTAAATTATTTTTTAATGGGGGGGGAATTTTTTAAAAAATATTTTACAAAAATTGCCGGGCGGATAATGAAAACCTACTCTTTAAGGCCGGTTGAAGTGAGAATAGCAGTAATTTTTCCATTGTTTTGAGAAGAGGTGAAGTTATTGCTATGGGTCTACATTTTTCATTCTTACCACCAGATACTTCCTTTGGTATTGGGATTATCTTTATCTTTCTCCACAACTGTGATATAAAATTATTTGAGAAAGATTCGTTAAAGTTGCTCGTGAATGGACGACACAAAACATCAGCAGGTGCTGTACGCTTCTTATGTGGATAGGTGTACGTAGTATGTAGCAGAAATTGAAAGTGGAATGCTTATCAGCAGAAGACCTAAATGAAAAGCAGAGGAAGGGAAACGGAGAGCAGTCGGAATGACAACAAAATTTGAAGAATGATGGAGGAAGTACCGGACAACTCAAGGAAGATATGCAAATTATATATTTAATGTATGATTTCCATATTTTACAAAGGCACTGTGTGAGTTTGCATAATATAGTAAATTGATTTACCGTGCCTGAGGTTTTGTTCACTACAAGAACACTTCTTGTAAGGGATGTTTGAAATCTCTTCATATCTCAAAGAGGGGGACGTGTTTAGTGACTGGAGACATTTTCAGTGTTGTTTTACGGATGAACAGATTGTATTATATATATATGTTATAACTTGCGCTTACTCAGTGAGCACTTCTTAATTAGTATTCTCAACAAACATGACTGATTTTCGGCACGAAAAGTTCGCTTATCATTGTTTTTTATCATGCGACACCGACAGAAATCTTTTTCATAGATTATTTAAAGTAGATACGGCTGCTAAAATCCTGAATTCCAAAACCTATGAATAAATCCTTCTATTCAGCTAGGCTTCCTGTCGTCTTCTCTAGCCGGCTTAAAATACACGGATGTGTTAAGGATAAACTTCCGCTTTGGGCTACGTGGATGTGTATCCATAGTTTTTTCCTGCTCTTGTGGGATAGGTTACATTGACCACATGAAGTGGTCACTTTGCGAAACACATATAAGAACATTACACAGCGTGGCTTTGAAAAAGAGACTGGAAAACTATCACTAGCTTAGTATTGGAGCACGTGATAAGCTGTGAACACGTTTTAGGTCTTTCACCAAAATACTCTACACAGTCGAAATACTGGATCAAATTTTTAAAATATTTTGTATTCACCTACAATCATGGTAAGTAACACGTTCTCATTCTTTTTCTCAGGTTATGTGAAGAAATTAGAATATCTTTAGTAGTAAAATTTATCACACTATCATGCGATAATGCGGAGGAGTTTGCAAATATACAGTTTCCTTTTGTCTTGACTAACAGTTGACAAGCAAAACGTGATCAAGGTTACTAGTCGGAAATTTTGATTATCATAAAACTAACATGGCAATAATAACGACACGTATGCTATTCTATCTGTCTGCTTTTATTCAGACATCTATCTGTCAATTTAGGTTTTGTAAAAAGCGCTGGAACTTTACTGCGGAACTCGAATTAGCATTTGGAAATATACTAAGAGAGTCTTTAAAAATATCGTTATTTGAAATAAAAATGATTACGTATGAATTGATTTGTGTCTGTGTGATATACCTTGTGGTTTGGATGCTACTTGATATTTGTTGTGCCGGAAACGCATATCACTTAGAATCGAAACGAGGGACCTCGGCACTTTGTAATGCTGAGTAACATTCTTAAAAAAAATATATTTAGTCTTGAGAAAAGACAAGGAATAATTATTTAAGAATTTGTGAGTAAATATTTTCTGTGTACGTTAGTACTAACTTTAAGTCGATTTTTAAACTAAGTATTTCTATAACCTTATATTTGTTGAGATGGTCAACATCATACAGAGTTCATATGATGGATTGCACTGCAAAATCGTGCATGGAGGACAGTTGACAAAGTCGTTCGAAGTGAAGACCGGTGTTAGGCAAGGTTGCTTACTCTCACCCTTTCTCTTTCTCCTGGTGATCGACTGGATCATGAAGACATCAACATCTGAAGGGAAGCACGGGATACAGTGAACATTTAGGATGCAGTTGGACGATCTAGACTTCGCAGACGATCTGGCTCTTCTATCCCAAACGCAACAACAAATACAGGAGAAGACGAACAGTGTGGCAGCAGCCTCAGCAGCAGTAGGTCTCATTATACACAAAGGGAAAGGCAAGATTCTCAGAAACAACACAGCATGCACCAATCCAGTCACAATTGACGGAGAAGATTTGGAAGATGTAAAAACCTTTACATAACTGGACAGCATCATTAATGAACATGGTGGATCTGATGCAGATGTGAAGGCGCGGATCGGCAAAGCAATAGCAGCATATTTACAACTGAGGAACATCTGGAACTCAAAGCAACTGTCAACCAACACCAAAGTCAGGATTTTCAATGCAAATGTCAAGACAGTTATACTGTATGGGGCAGAAACCTGGAGAACTATGAAAGCCATCATCCAGAAGATACAGGTATTTATTAACAGTTGTCTAGCAACAGCGTACTGTGGGAACAAACCAGGTTCCAGCGGAGGAGGAAATCAGAAAGAAGCTCTGGAAGTGGATAGGACACACATTGGGGAAAGAACCCAACTGCGTCCCAAGACAAGCCCTCACATGGCATCCTCAAAGCCAAAGTCAGTCAGTCAGTCAGTCAGTAACAACGTAGAACTTCATAAGTACGTACATCAGTTCGAGTTGCCACACCACATTAGCACAGAGATGCAGTGGTCGATTCAAATCCCGTACTGGTAGAGGTAATAAGAGTAAAAGCAGTAATCGGGAAGATTAGTGTTTGGAGATGTTACTTAAAGAGTATAATACAGTGAAATAAATATGGGAAGAGAAAAAAAAGTAACAAGGAGGAATAAGGAGATCAGAATTTGGGAGAACACAAAGAGTGTATGCTCCTGCGCCATTGCAAACGATTTTGAGCCATGTCATTCAAGGTCTCTAATCATCGGTTGCTATCATCTCGCGGTCCCCAACCAGGGTAGTCTACACCCACCAACATGGCTCAGTCCACTTGTCAGTGACTTCATGGACTTGTGCCATGTTTTGGTCTGGCCGCCCTTAGCTTTCTTCCAACCTACTCCTATACCACTGAACATCGCACGTCGAGGCAGTCGGTGGTTGGGCATACGTAACACGTGTTCCAGCCATCTCAACTGAAGTTTCACTACGTCATCAATTGATTTGTCATCCTTACCTAGTACCCGTTTCCTAACAACTGCATTACTTACTCGATGGTCTCAGGATATACGAGCAATCTTTCGAAGACACCTATGATCGAATACTAGTAACCTACTCTTACCGCCTTGTTTCACTGTCATAAAGTAGAACAGAACGAACTGCTGCGCAGTAAACACGTCCTTTGGTCGATAGACGGATATCTCGCCTACGCCATAAATGACGCAAGTTGGTAAAAGCTAGTCGAGTCTTCTGTATCCGTGCTGAGATTTCGTCACACATCAGACCACAAAAGCTGATGGGACTCCCAAAATAAGTAAAGCGATCGACACGTTCAACTACTTCACTCCCTATAATTAATTCGGGTGTCGATACAACCCAATCCTGAAGCAACGTTTTGCATTTCGAGGGCGAGAATCGCATCCTGAACATGCCTGTATTGTTGCTTAGAGTGGTCAGAAGACTGCATTTTGTCAGCGTCTTCACCAAATAAAACGATGTCATCAGCATATTCTAAGTCAACAAGTGAATCTCTCGGTGCAAGTTGAACCCCTGGAAAGTCAGATGTGAAAATTGTTATCTCTAAAAGCACGTCAAGGACAAAGTTAAACAAGAATGGAAAGAGTGGATAGCCCTGACGAACACCACTTGAGGTAATCAGTTCGCCATAAGCCCTCACTCGATCAGATATGTTCGAGAAAAGAACCTGTATAAGGTTAGTGTACTTCTTTGGTACTAATTTCAGTGACAAACACTGCCATAGAACCTCACGATCAACAGGGTCGAATGCTGCCTTAAGGTCGAGAAATACTATGATTGTGGGGCGTCTGGATGTGTGTCTATGTTCCAGGACCTGACGTAGTGTGAATATCTGGTCTATACAACCACGTCCAGATCGGAAACCAGCCTGGTTTTCTCTAGTCTGTTCTTCACGAGCTTTAGTTAGGCGGCGAAGAATTATTGAAGCTAATATTTTAGACACTATATTAGTCAAACTGATTCCTGTGTGATTGTCGCAAGAGGACTTTTGTCCTTTCTTACTGACTGGCGCAATCAATGATTGAGACCAGTCAGATGGGATTACGTCCAGTTCCCAAATTCTACCTAAGACCTCAGTCAATCTCGCTGCTAATACTGAACCACCATCCTTAAAACTCTCAAAAGTAAACCTGTCAGGACCCGCTGCTATCCCACGCTTCAGATTTCCTATAAATTTCTCAACTTAGTAAAGGGTTGGAGGACTTACATCAACTTGCCATTCAGGTTGACTGGAGATCGTGGGAAACCGAAGTGTGGCTGGAGGCCAGTTGAACTGATCCCTGAAGTGTTCTGCCCATCGATCCAATCTCCTGGATTGATAATGTATAATATGTCCATCTTTTTTCTAGATAGTTTCGCTAACAGTCGGGCTCCTAATGTGGTGCGTGCTACTTATATTGATATAAGTAGTATATAACGTGAGTCAAAAGTACGTAATGTCTGGCAGCAGAAGACGGAGAAGATCAAGAAAAGAAGAGCGAGAAAACAATGGAATTTGTTAGAAACTGCATGAGCAATGAAATGCGAGACAATGGATTGATGTTTGCAGCAGCAACAGCCCGGTTTGATATGATAGAATGATATTTTGCAAATTAACGATTTACCATATGGTTTTTCTATTTTACCAAGTAATTCTGTAATTTGTCCTAAATACAATTTGGCTGTCCTCACCCGTGTTCTTCTTCACTACATTTGGTGTCGCTGCCTCCACTAAGGATGAAGATTCCATGGCCGAAGGAGTTTGAGGACGGAGATGTGCTGAGCTTCATGAAGGAGTTTGAGGCCGTGGCGGAGCTGGTGGGAGTGAAGGAGCCGAAGGCGAAGTTGGTGGTGCTGGGGACGCTGCTGAGAGGCAGGGCGAAGGCTGTGTATGACAGCCTGGACGGTGCTGGCGGGAAGACCACATGGGAGGCAGTCACGGAGCGGTTGACGGCGGAGTTCGACAGCCCAATGGACAGAGGGGACGCGCTGCAGAAGTTCCGGTTGGCGAGGTTGCCAGTCGATGGGGACCCACTGGCGCTGGCTGTGGAGCTTACCAGGTTGTTACGCCGTGCGTTGCCGAGTCTGGATGAGGAGTCGGAGGCACAGTTGTTGGCGTCACAGTTTATCGAGAGTGTGCCTGCCACCGTCTCCCAACAGCTGAAACTGGTGAACGCAGCGCAACCGATGGATATCAGTGAACTGGCGAAGGTGACTCGTCAGCTGATGACGCGAACAGTAGCTCCGGTCGGGTGCGGAAAGCAGGAGATGAGTAATGTCGAGAAGAAGATTGAGGAAGATTGAGGAGCTGGAGCGCGAGGTCGCAGCAATACGAGTGAACAATAAAAGGAACGATAAATGTTACGCTTGTGGAGGGACAGGACATTGGAAGATAAACTGTCCAACAAGACGAAGACGCAGATATGTTAGACGTTACAACGAGTGTTCTTTCTATCCTAGGAATCTGGGGATTGTTGCGTTAGTAGACAGAGGGGCAGTATATACGAGAGTGAACATAAATGAGCGAGATTTAGTTTGTCTGATCGATACAGGTGCAGCAGTATCGTTAATAGGCAAAGAGCAATGTAAGAGAATCAAGCCGTGTACATTAGCTGTCCACACGATAGGGGGCCATATGTTAGAGGTGTTTGGCGTATCTAACAGTATCGTAAAAGTGGGGGATGCGGAGATAAATTTTCCGTTCGTCGTAACCACAAGCTTATCGAGACCGATATTAGGAGCAGATTTCCTAAGAGAAGTAAAAGCGATAGTTGACTTAAGAAGCGGTAAGGTGGTCACGAAATATGGTTCATTGACAATACACGAAAGTAGCGAAGTGGCTGAAATAAGAGTTGCAGCGGATGTCTCGTCAAAGAAACCAAACATTCACGAGTTATGCAAAAAGTATGCGAAACTATTCACTGGAGATGGGGAGCCGTATGGATTTTGTGACAGAGTAAAGCACGAAATACCGATAAAGAACAGTCGAGTAAATATATTTGCAACACGTCGTGTCCCGGTGCATTTAGAGGCCGAGGTAAATCGTCAGGTTCAGGAAATGTTAAAAGAAGGTATAATTGAGGAAGCGGACAGCCCATATAGCTCGCCGGTACTCTTGGTAAAGAAACCAAATGGAAAGTATAGATTTTGTGTCGACTTCAGAGAATTGAATAATATAACAGACCTGAAGCCTTGTGCAATGCCAACAGTGGTGGAAACATTAGATCGGCTACAGAAGGCCACGGTGTTTACAGTGCTGGATTTACGGTCAGGTTATTGGCAACTGCCTATAAAAGAGAGTGATCGGAGCAAGACAGCGTTTACTGTACGTGATAAACAGTATCAATTTAAACGAATGCCGTTCGGGTTGGCGGGTGCACCGTTCACGTTCAGAAGATTAATGACACTACTGCTCAAGAATCTAGATAATGTCGAGGTATGTGGCGACGATGCAGTTGTGTACAGTCAAACAGAAACAGATCACATCAAGCATGTGGAAGCGGTCTTAAAGCGAATTGACGAATTTGGACTTCGGATTAATAAGGACAAGTCGCAGATAGCGAAAAGTAGCGTCACATTGTTGGGACATAAAGTGGGAAATGGAGAAATAAAACCATTGCCGGAGAAAATTCTTACCATAAAAAATATTGCAGTACCTAATTCGAAAAGGAAGTTGAGACAGTTCCTGGGAAGAGCGGCGTTCTACAGTCGGTTTGTCAAAAATTTCAACGAAATAGCAGCACCCTTATATAAGTTATTGAGCAGCACCAAGTTTACGTGGACTGAGACTGCCGAACAAACGTTCAACCGAATCAAAAACATGCTAGACGATCGCCAGATGACGCTTAGACTGCCTGAACCGGGAAGACTGTTTACAGTGGCCACAGACGCGAGTGATCATGGTATAGGTGCTGTGTTGAGTCAGGCTGATAGAGTGGTGGAATACGCGAGTTGCGTCCTCACACCTGCTGAACAGAAGTATTCAACCATCGAAAAGGAGTGTTTAGCGATCGTGTGGGCAGTGGATAAATGGAGACCATACCTTTTAGGTAGACGATTTCACATTGAGACCGACCATAAACCCCTGCAGTGGTTGAAAACAGCAAGAGACCCCCGAGGGAAGTTGGCGCGATGGATGATACGCCTGCAAGAATACGATTTCAGTATCGGCCATGTTCCAGGAAAAGAAAACGTAATGGCAGATTACTTGTCAAGACCAGACATGGAAGCCGACCTGCCATTAACAGCATACGCGGTGAATAGTTTAGAGGGAGACCCATTAGAACTCGTCCGGCAGCAGAAAGCTGACCCTAACCTTCGAGAGGTAATCAGAGTGATAAAAGAGGGAGCAGACGTAGATAAACGAACAATGGACAAGGAGGTAATAACGCTGCTTCGGCAAAAGGACCGACTGAGAGTGAACTCATATGGAGTGCTGACCTGGCAGGACGATGATGAGAATTGGGTGGCGGTGATCCCGAAAGACTGGCGGCGTAAAGTGATACACGAGTGTCACCAGGTAGCACATACAGGCATCGCAAGAACGACGGACTTACTAAGACAAAGTGCATACTGGCCGAGCATGAGAGAAGATGTGGCTGAATACGTGTTAACCTGCCAGCAGTGTCAGCTAATGAAAAGCGATCGATACACACAACCGCCATTACAGTCAATCCCAGTAACCGCAGTCGGTGATCTATGGTCGGTGGATGTGATGGGACCGTTTCCACAGACGGCGAGCGGTAACCAGTACCTGTTAGTGATGACGGAACATGCTACACGTTGGGTAGATGCCGTACCCATTGCAGACCAGCGGGCAAGGACAGTGACCGAGGTGGTAATCCGGCATATTGTAGCGTGTCACGGAATACCGAAGATGATATTAACTGACCAGGGTCCCTGTTTTGAAAGTGACGAGTTTAAGGCCCGTTTAAAGCAGTTTGGCATCAAGAGAATACGAACTACACCGTATCATCCTCAGACAAACGGGCTTACAGAGAGAAACAATCGGACGTTAAAGGAATGGTTAGCATCAAAAGGAGGAAATTGGGAGAAAGAGTTACCATTGATTTTGCTGGCACATCGTTCCTCCACACAAGGAACAACCAAGAAGTCACCTTTTTTGCTCATGTATGGCAGACAACCACGACTTCCAATGCATAATAAGACTGCATGAGCAATGAAATGCGAGACAATGGATTGATGTTTGCAACAGCAACAGCCCGGTTTGATATGATAGAATGATATTTTGCAAATTAACGATTTACCATATGGTTTTTCTATTTTACCAAGTAATTCTGTAATTTGTCCTAAATACAATTTGGCTGTCCTCACCCGTGTTCTTCTTCACTACACTAATACCTGTTTCCTTAACAAGTCTGAACAGTTGTCTGATGTTACCTATTGCCGCTGCCTTTTCCATCTCTCTTGCTTTCGCTACCCATCACTGTTTACGATCATTGCGTAGGCTTCTTGTCAGCTTGCGCTTAAGCTGACTCTGCTCTTCGTTATGCTCAGAGCCAGATGGAATGGGTTTTTGAGCATCTATCAGTGCGATAGATGCTGCTGAGATCCAGTGTTGCTCCCTAACCTTCTGGTTTGCCTTACTAGCAGATATCACTGCTGTTTCCACAGCTTTTCGGATATCATCTCATGCTGCATAGGGGTGGGCATCACATACATAGCTGCCTAACAGTTTTCCTAGTTGTTCCTGAACTATACTCTCAGCATGACTATCATTAAGTAGGGTCCTAAGAGGTTTCCTTGCAGCGTCTTTCCTACATCCAGCAAGACGCAGACAAATACTCACCCGAGCATAGTCTGAATCTAAGCATGTCCTCCAGAATGAGCGGTAGTCTTCTATTGAGCCCCTCCATCGGTGGCTGATAGCGATGTGATCTATTTGGGTCCAACGTTGGGACGAATTAGGGGGTCGCCATGTTAAAAGATGTTTTTCTTTATGCTTAAAGTTATTATTTGCAAGAAACAGGCGGTTATCTGAGCATAGCTGCAACAGACGGTCGCCATTATCTGTTCTTTGAGCCACGACACCATAAGATCCGCCCAGGTGTCTTTCCCTATCGCTTAGTTTACCTACTTGAGCATTAAAGTCATCGGCCACTATTACTACATCCGAGCGCTTATCTTTTAGGAGGGCTTTCTGTAAAGCTCATCTTTTGCATCATCTGAGCTGCAGTCAGTGGGAGAATAGGCAGAGACGACGAAGAGGCAACGACGAGTGTCCCTATATTTTCGGATCCTTACTATCCCGTTCAGTCGGACAGCGCACAAACGACTGTCTACTGGGATCCACTCTAAGAGAGCTAGTTCTGCCCTAGGACTCAATGCTATACCTACGCCGGCGAGGCCACGGGAAGCAGAATCAGGTCTTCCAGATACACAAATTGTGAATCGAGTCGGTTCTTCAAGGCCAAAGGAAAAGAGGAAGACCAAAGAACACATTACGCCGGGAAATGGAAATAGACATGAGAAAAATGAACAAGAATTGGATGGAACTAGAATAGAAGGCCCAAGACAGAGTGGGTTGGAGAATGCTGGTCGATGGCCTATGCTCCATTGGGAGTAACAGGCCCAGATATATATATATATATATATATATATTTGTTGAGGTTAATTTATTCTTTTTCCAATATTTGTTGATGTTATTATCTTCTTCTAGTGATTTATGTGATAATTCAGTTCCTTATGTACCAATGTGCAAGCTTCTAAATATTTTCAGATAGTTTTATTTATAAACATATGTGTTTTCTCGTCGTCGATGTTGAAGACTGAGATTGGTTACTTTCTTTCCCCAAATATAAATCTTGAATGGTTTGTCTCGATACCAACATTTTCATGGAGGCTTTTTTTAAAATATTTGAGTTATAGTTAGCAGTGGAACACATGATACTCATTTAATCCTATTTATAACTCTTTAGCTGGAGTTTCTTGAATCCTAGTGGTGAAGTCTTTACAGAGACTTCGGTCCACAAAACAAAAACACTAATGAATACGCAACATATCTATTATACAGGTTAATGACTATTTCATCCAGTAGCTTAGTCGATGACATGTTATTGTTCATATCGAAAGAGCTCAGCTCGAGCCTTGGTTTGAACATCAGTACTTCGACAAAGGTACATCTAGCCGATGTGTTCCCGTAAAGATGCAACGTGTTTCCTGGGTTCCACTGCTAACCAATATCCAGCTTTGATTAATACTCAGCTTGTTTTCTTGCGAATTCGGACGTTGTGATGCATTAAATATTTGAAAATTAACTATTCTTATATCGTACATTAATGTATTTTCTGATAGTCACTTTATTTTGACACAGTTCATCGAATCAAAATACATTTGTAAAAAGTTTATTTTACATGAATATGTATTACTACATATTTTGTTGCTAAGCTAGTCTGTTTTAAGTGATGAGGACATTTTAATCAAGCTTAGTGAAACGTGAGAATTCCTTAGTTGATGGATAAAAGTAAAAATTAACATATCTTTTTGCCTACCTCTAATTCTCATAGCTGAATTTAATGACTGGTTGGAGATAATTCATTTGTAGTGAACAGAACATGGGTGAGAACAATCGAATCAATTAGCACAAAATTACAGAATTACTTGGTAAAATAGAAAAACCATATTATAATACTTAATTTGTAAAATGTTCAATAATTGTCTCGAACTTCGTTGTTCTTGCATTTCCATAGTAATTGCTTTCTATTCCCACCCTTTCTTGATCTTCCCCATCTTCTGCTGCCAGGCATTACATTTCTGACTCGCGTTATATACTACTTATATCAATATAAGTAGCACGGACCACACATTCACTAGAGTTTTTTTCGATTACGGTGTCATGGAGTAAAGTGGAGTGTTGGATGTGTACTTCGTTAAGTGGTTAGAAGTAGCCAACAGGAAACGGGTTCTATGCTAGTTAGCATTCGTCAGCAACCAGTACCAACAATCTTGAGGATATTGATATTCCATCAGTCAGTCAGTCAGTAGCAACGTAGAACTTCGTACGTACATACATGAGTTCGAGTTGCCATACCACATTATCACACAGATACAATTGTCGATTCAAATCCCGTAGTGATAGACGTAGTAAGAGTATAAGCAGTAATCGGAAAGATTAGGGTTTGAAGATGTTGTTCAAGGAGTATAATCCAGTGAAATTTGGAAAGAGAAAAAAAGGGACATAACTTTGTGGTCGGGTTTGGCTATCGTGATGACCCAACCAAGCTATATTGGCTGGAACATATGTTCCTGTAGATTCTACCACGCCAGGCAGGTCGATTGGAGAACGGTAAGACTAAAAGCAGCAACTCAAGGTCTGAGGGCTGACTTTAGAGGTATGTGACAGCAGTAGGGTGTTTCCTTCTGTCAACCAGCATCTGCAGCGATGCTGCTTTCTCATAGGGAAGGGTGGGGTTAGAATAGATCGACCCTAAAATTTTCATACTTCACCTTACCTCACGGATTTCCGTCCCCGGTGGTAAGGTCCTTTGAAGAACGGAGCTAACACATTAAAAATCTCCCACAAATAGGCCGTTCGTGACCGGCCTCAAGTAGTTGTCCCTTGGGCTCTGCGGTCACGCTTCCAGGTCACTAAGACCAACAATAATCCAACTTCCTTTCCAGGTTCTCCAAGAAATACCCTTCCACGGTGTGGGCAGCCAGGAAGTGACATCAGCCCTCATACCACGTTGGTCACATTCAAATCCTTCAAATTGATATTCCTTATGGAATCTAAACCTGAGTAATCAAATTCCATAGTTTGAAATATTACCACCAGTGACTTCCTTAAGAATGAAGATATTTACGGTTGGTTGGCCACTGAGTAGTGACCAATATCATGTTTGTTTAGTCTATAAGTGCTAATGGAATTCTGTTGATCGTTATTATTTCTCTATTTTGATCTTTTTTAAAATTATTTGATCCCTGAGAAATTGGAACCGGTGTCGTTCTTCTTTGTAGCTTGAGACATTATTATTGAGCTATCCGAAGAGCGATTTCGAGTTATTCAGATTAATGGTTATTATCGTGACTTAATGGATATAATTGAATCATCGGTAGATGACTAGACAAACATGTCACTGGTCACCATTTAGTTTTTTATGCAATTTCCCTGTTTTTTTTGTGAATTCGGTTATTATTATAAATATTAGTGGATTAAATAATGCAATATGTTAATCATATATCTTTATTAATAATATTTTCAAAAATATTGTATTTTTATCCGAAGTAAAAATAAATTTATTTGTTAACTTAGCCACTTCACATTTTTATCCTACATTTCCTATAGGAGACGGAGTAATTACGTTAGATGAACTTAGTAATTATTTATTACTGCACGAAATCCACTTCGCACATTGACCAATGAAAATGTTGAATTTTTATCAAAATCATATGAATTGAATCATATTGATTTCATATATTATAGTGCGATCAATTGAAAATATTGATTTTAAACTGAGATTTAATTGCGGTCCATATATATATATATATAGAAAGATAATTCCCATACCATATTTTATTTATGTACATCATGTATAAACTTAATAATACACACATATACTTTATCATCTAAATATTGTGATCACTGAATTTCTAACCCTACATGGCTATTTAGCCCAATATATCTTTTTCTGGAGCAAAGATTTATACTTATTTATAACAGGGATACTTTTAAATCATAAAATTTATTCTCTTTCTATCATTGTTATTATCTAATCGATTATATTATTATTATTATTATTTCATCTCACTTTAGCATCGTTGTTTTGTTCATCTTCGAATTAATAATTTACCTTATTTTTATCCTTCTTAATGATTTTTTTCTCATATTATATATATATATATATATATTTGACAGTACTATTGAATAATTAACTACATACATACCTTTCTACATTGCAATAAATGAACAATATTACCTGTCATTCTAATGTCATATATCATTAACATTTTATAAGAAAATGCATTCAGTACGCATCTGTGAATCAAAACGTAAATTTTTTTTTTTTCAAATATATATATTACAGTAACTGTTTACAGAAATCAAAAGGAATAGTGAGAAGGATTGTTTATTCTAGGTTTTCATTTTCTGAACTTGCTGTATAATAATAACAAATTATTGGACTGATCAAAATGCAGTCTTAAACACCTATTAAGATTGACTCTGCCTTTTGTTGATGAGTGGTGACTAGTCCGAAACCTGTTTTAATAATTACATATTGCTGAATTACCGCAACTTTCCAGCATAAATAGTAAAATCACAGGTTGTGATAAGCACAAAATGACATGGGTTAGAATCTTACCTAAAACGTCAGGTATTTCAAGTTTGCAGATATGTCTTGCTGATTGGTGATAATTTGTATGAAACGTACGTTTAAGCCTACTTAACAGTTGCCTTCGTCTACATGAAATTAAAAGTAGTTCGGCTTTAATACAACCTTAAATCACTATGCTTAAACCGTTTCAACTGGCTTGTTTAGTATCAGTAACCTACTCGATTCCACTATCAATAGGATGCAATCGGATAATGAGAATTAGACAACCGACCTAACCTTTACGTGATTGACTCGATAATTCACATAATTATATATTTAGATTATTTGCCTTAAACATTTCCTTATTAAAACTCACATATGATTGACTAAAACACGGTAATATAATAACAAGTAGTTTCTTACTTGACTGTTAAGAATTAAAACATAAAAAAACTCATAAACTAAATTTTTGATCAAAAGACTTTTTAAAAAATACTTACTTACGCCTATTACCCCCAATGGAGCATAGGCTACCGACCAGTATTCTCTAACCCACTCTGTTCGTTCTAGTTCTATACAATTGTTGTTCATTCTTCTCATGTCTGTCTCCACTTCTTGGCGTAACCTATTATTTGGTCTTCCTTTTCTCCTTTGGCCTTGACGATTCCAAGTGAGGGCTTGCTTTGTGACGCAGTTGGGTGCTTTCTTCAATGTGTGTCCTATCCACTTCCAGCGCTTCTTCCTGATTTCTCCCTCCGTTGGAATCCGGCTTGTTTTCCCCCACAGCAGGTTGTTTCTCATAGTGTTTGGCCAACAAATCCGAAGTATTTTGCGTAGACAGCTGTTAATAAACACTTGTATCGAGATTTAGATGGTGGTTGGTGGTAGTCAACAGGAAACCCTGGACCCGGGTTTCGTGCTACTCGGCACTCGTCAGTTGTATCTTCTGGATGATGGCTTTCGTAGTTCTCCAAGTTTCCGCCCCATACAGTAGAACTGTCTTGACATTTATATTGAAAATTCTGTCTTTGGTGCTGGTTGACAGACATTTGTTTTGAGTTTCAGATGTTCTTCAGTTGTAGAGATGCTGCTCCTGCTCTGCCGTTCTGTGCCTTCACATCTGCATCAGATCCACCATGTTCATCAATGATGCTACGCAGATATGTCTAGGTTTTAACATCTTCCAAAGCTTCTCCACCAAGTGTGATTCGATTGTTGCATGCCGTGTTGTATAGAAGAATCTTGCTTTTCCCTTTGTGTATATTGAGACCTACTGCTGCTGAGGCTGCTGTTATACTGGTTGTCTTCTCATTATTAAAAAATACAGATCACTCGAAGAGAAAATAACTTCACAAATTTGTTGTTCTCATTTGATGGTTATTGTCTTAACAAGTCGAACGTTCGGTCACATAGTATACAGAATAGGTAAAATTTATTTCAATATTTGCTCACTAGTGACTAGCTTCAAGATGGATTTCCTGGAGTTCTAATGACCAGTAGATTCCAATCCATATCTGGTGGTGACAGTTACCTACCACAGACAATGTATGAAGAGTTGCGCAAGATCATTGATAGATTGAAGTTAAATATTAACACTGTTAAATACCGGCCTAGTGATCTAGAGGTTAAGCGTTTGCGCGCGAGACTGAAGCTCCTGAGCTTGAGCGATCGCGCATGCGGGATCGTGGATGCGCACTTCTGAGGAGACCCATACTAGGACGAAAAGACTTTCCAGTGCTTTCAGGTTTCCAGCGTTGGTCTACCTTGGATCGACACATGAATTCAACCATTAAAATTACTACAGTTACCACAGATCCCCATTCTGATGAAATTTACTTTATCCAAAAGAATTCAATAACATTGTCCGGCGTGGCTAAAAAGAGGCAACGGCTCGATAAGAAGTTCAATAATCGAACACCTTGTGAACACAGTTCACTCAATCAAGACAGACTCTACGTTTAAAGTCATCTACAAGGTAAGTAGAAGCCTTCCTAAGACAATTAGACTGCATCTTCTTTGCATTGCCGAGGCAATAGCCATACATTTTGAAAAACTAGAAGTATGTGTACAAAAGAGATTGGTACAACCTCTTCTTCTACCATGGTCTTAATGTATTAAAATTTTTTCTCTTTCTTCATACTCTTGTTCTCTTACAGCCACCTGCTCCACCTTCCATCTTCCTTTCAAATCTTCTGCCCCCAATCGGTTTGTTTTTATTTCCACGATCATTTCAATTACATTTCATTTCTGTTTCAACATTTTATTTTATCATGCTGAGCCATCCTTACCTAATGAATATTTAAGCCATTAACTATCAAACGATTATTAAACTTTCCTTGTTTTAAAAATTTTTTCTAATACCTTTTTTTCACAATTGATTGATCACTGGGTGGTGATCAATCTCATGCTTGTCTAGTCCTTATTAGTGCAGATCGAATGCTATCGATCATGTTGCAATGTGGCCACCAGTCTAGGTGACTCGACACTGCGGGCACTATGTATTGAGATTAGATGGTGGTTGGAGGTAGTCAACAGGAAACCCTGGACCCGGGTTTCGTGCTACTTAGCACTCGTCAGCAAGGTGTACCTGTAATCTTGAGGGAACTGGTGCTCCCTGGCTGATTCGATCTCGTGTCACCCAGCTTCACAGTCAGAGACGTTACCACTGAGCTATCCGAGCCGTGACTAACCTCCTGTAGGACTGAGATGTAATCACAATTGATTGATCACTGGGTGGTGATCAATCTCATGCTTGTCTAGTCCTTATTAGTGCAGATCGAATGCTATCGATCATGTTGCAATGTGGCCACCAGTCTAGGTGACTCGACACTGCGGGCACTATGTATTGAGATCAATCAATTGTGATTACATCTCAGTCCTACAGGAGGTTAGTCACGGCTCGGATAGCTCAGTGGTAACGTCTCTGACTGTGAAGCTGGGTGACACGAGATCGAATCAGCCAGGGAGCACCAGTTCCCTCAAGATTACAGGTACACCTTGCTGACGAGTGCTAAGTAGCACGAAACCCGGGTCCAGGGTTTCCTGTTGACTACCTCCAACCACCATCTAATACCTTTTTTTATTTAACCTCACTCTCACCATGTATAACAGAAGTTTATTATCAGTATTATTATCACCCTGTAAAAATAAGTATATATATTTGCGATTGTACAGCTTTGAAAATGAATTCGCCGAAAAGAGAACTCTTCGCTGAACTAATTTTTCTTTCTTATTTAATGTCATAATGGGTGTATTGCGTTTATTAAGAAATTTATTTCATCATAAAAGATGCACAAAATGGACATCATTGTAAGGGTATTTCGCAAATTTTATAGTTTATATCACTTAATGATTTTAAATAGATAGCAAGTGAAAATTAGCTAGTACTGGATAGTTGTTTCCTCTAAAAATAAGGTTCGTCTCCAGTCTCCAGTCATGACTGCATTGAGAATTGTGCTCAGCAACATCAAGTATTGTAGCAAGCAAATCTAGGTGGATATCCATTGTTCATTAGTATCTGCGTCGTTTATCAAGCTCAATATCGATTGTATCCTTGGTACAGATTCATCTGGCCCTCATGTAGAGATAATGGGTCATCTTCCTGTCTTGCTTCAGTAGGACCCAACTGTGAAAATTCACGTATCGTCCACGCCAATGAAAGGAGATAGTGCAACAGAAATTCTGGTAAACAGACCTTCAAAATCTCTGAGAAAAGTATTCCATTCACTCGAACTTCGCATCATCTTTTCTGGTCGGCTTATAATTCGTAGTTGTGTCAATGATAAGCTTCCGCTTTGTGCCAAATCAATGTGCATCTATCAGTTTACTTGCTCATGTGGACCAGATTATACTGGCCACATAATGCGAGCTCTTTTGAAACGCAGTCAGAAAGGCTGGCTTAAAAGGACCCTATGTGCATCAGATGCTTTGCTATCCACCACATCAAGCTTAACCTTTGCGTACAAAAACAGTATGTTCAGGCCCTCATTCGTCCATGGCGTCAACTTTCCATTCTAAGATGTTGGTTGGAGGTAGTCCGCAGGAAACCCTGGACCTGGGTTTCGTACTACTTGGCACTCGTCAGCAAGATGTACCTGTAATCTTGAGGGAACTGATGCTTCCTGACGGATTCGATCCTGTGTCGCCCAGCTTAACAGTCACCTAGACTAGTGGTCACATTACAACTTTGTCGATAGGATATACACTATCACAACTTTTAATTATTCATTTCTTAATAGCTATCACGAGGACAATTATCTTTACCTCAGCACGTTTCAATAGCCGATTACTACATACCTCGTTTCAATATCTGATTTCTGTAAACAATTCACGAAAATATATTACTTCAAGTTCTTTTAAATTATTTAATACCATTCTATTTTGTCACAGACTACTGCTTTTGCAAATGAAATTCATTATAAATACGCTTGTATAACTTGAAAAAAGTGAGGCTGTTGCAAAGGAAATTCTCTTCGTTTAACTGTCTTCATTTATTTTCAGTGACACAATGGGCTTCTAGTCATTATTCATTGGTTTACATTTCCAACTTCAGTCGATTCATGAACAACTGTTCAGTGTTTTCTGGTTTACGGTGGTTACCTAACTAAAATCGGTTTGTGAAGTAAACTATGAGGTATGAATATTGATTGCTACTTAGTAAGTAAACAAACTAAAAAATAAAACCATAATTATGTTGTAGAAACAACAATATTAATAAATATTATTTATAATTGTTGTCTCAACGATTCTTGACATAATCCACTGAATTTGTCCAATAATATGATAGACAAATGTATTATGATCTTCACCATTATTGTTGATAGTATGTTGATATTTGTTTATTGCAACATTTGATTGTGCATTTTGTTTTATAACGTGATAAAAATGACATGAACATCTTGCATAAGCATGAAAATGATTAAGTCTTGTCCAAGTGATTTGGTGAGTTGAAATAATTGACCAGTTATATTCGTTTATCAATCTGATTAGTTCTTGATTCCTTCTATGTTCATGCATTCTTCTCGACTAAATAAAATGCGTATACACGCAGAGTGATTGGAAACGCATTATAAACAATCAAAGAATTTGAATTTATTTATTAAAACAATATTAAATTTAAAATAATTAGTTTTTGATAACGTTATATTCAATTGCTTCATAAATATAAGTACTAGTAATTTTTATTAAAAGCACGAACTGATCTAAGTTAGACAATCGTTGACAACCTGAAAATGATCGACTGTTTCATCCTAGCATGGAACTCCTCAGCAATGCTCACTTACGATCTCACCATGGCAGATAGGACTCAGGAACTTCGATTTTATATGCTAGCGCTTAACCTCCAGACCACAAAGCTGGTATCCAACGGTATTATCGTTCAACTTTAGTCAATTCGAGGTATTGGGTCAGCATCTGCCATTGTCTTCGGGGGATAAGTTTCTCACACCCGAAAGATTTGTGTTGAACTAGTCACGGTATCGGACCAGAACCCCGGAAATTTCCTTTCGAAGCTAGTCACTGGTGATCAGAGGTTAACTTTGAACATCAAGATTGTGGAGACTTGAATTTTTCAATTACTGAATATTTTATTAGGTGAACTGGTTTCAGTAAAATCTTTAAAACTGTGAAGTATTTATATCAGTGTATCACAGTTGACGAAACACTGAAATAGAAGACCTAAAACCTGTTAGTAATTGACGTCATAAAACTATTGAATGAATAGTCTTAGCCTAGTCGAATCTGTAATTAATTATCTAAATAACTTGCAAGATCAGTTTGTTGCATGTGGTGCATAATGATTGTTAAGGTTTCCACGGATGATCAGAATTTTCTTTGTTACGATATGCAAGAAGTTTTCGGTATTTTTTTCA